GCATCAGAAGAGAGTGAGATGAACTCCTATCCCATTTAAAACTCCTCCCACTAGATGTCAACTGCCATGGAACATCCCTTTGGCCAGTTTAAGTCAGCTGTCCTCATTCTCATCCCTCCCAGCACCTTGGGCCTCTCACTGAGAATGGCATTGGCTCTGTACAAAACAGCTTATAAGTAACTATTAACATCGGTGTGTTATCAACATTGTTTTTCCCAAAGAACCAAAAACAGAGTTGTACCACACACTCTCAAGAAAACAATTCAATCCTAGTGAAACTAAGACAGCCTGAATAAATTGTTTGCCATTAATTTACATCATCATTTACATAAGACAAGAAATACTAGAAAAATATGCATGCTACTTCTTAGCAAAGATTTCCTAAGTAAAATCATTCCATACATTTCATGCTTGAAAATGCATTTAGACCAGAAAAAGATTTCACGTCAGTGGTTTGGCTGAAATTGAACACTTCATTTCAGGTGAAATGTATCACTTCCCGTGAACAACAAATTCATGACTGTACCCATACCTTCTATTCTGAGTCATAGGCAGTTCTTCTGATCCTGGTGTTGGGTAGATAAACATATTGTTAAGAAAAGGGGTATGTATGTTCATTACAAACAATGGCTATAATTTCTGTGGAGGAGTGCTTCAGTGTCTCATTAGCTGATTAGTAATGGGAATTAGCAGTAGTTAACAAATTGTACCAAGGAATTATATTCCTTACTTGCAAATGTAGGGAAGCATCAGAATGTGAAATGTATCTGATGCTGATTTTGTGTCTCCTGAGTTGGTCTTATGTCCACTCCAGGATCTCACCACAGGAGGTGCTAAGGTTTTTCTGGTTTAAAAGTTAAAAGGTTTCTGGGTTCTCACAGTGGTTTTTTAGGGTACATTTTCACCCCGTTATATGGTCATGCTGTTGTCACATATTCATTAAGAGAGATGAATTGGTTTTACTAGTTCAAATCTTCAACTCATTATGCGTTCATCTGTTAGAAACTAGATAACAGTCCATAACAGTAGTTATGGCAGATAACAGTAGTTTTAAAGGAGCCTAGTTTGTTCTTAAAGTAAATCAGCTTAATAATAAGATGACCTAAAGTATTCAGTCTGTACATAAAATAACCCATTTAGTTGTTTCCTAAAATTGGAAGCATTATTAGCATTAGCAAATTGGCTAAATTGGTAGCATCCATTTAATGTCTGATTCCAGTGTCATTAGAACCAATTGTTTTCTTCTGTGTAATTAAGTAGGAACTGAAGTACGGCTAATCTGTACATTTCCTTGCACATCCTGCATGTATTAAAATAGTAATAACTATAATGTCAGCACTCATTCTCAAAACTAATACAGTTTTTTACTTTTAAATTTTTTAGACTGTAACTCTTTCTTCTGCTCCATTAAAACAGTTTTAAAGAAATTCTCAAAAGCATTTTATTCTTTTTTATTATTACGTGCATTTCTCTTTTAGGTTAAATGCTATAAATTTCAAATTTGGAATGCTGAGAATGGATGCTATGATAGAAATAGTGAAATTCCCCAAAATAAGTAGGAACAAAGACCTTAAATCCGTGTGTTGCAGGCCCAGTAGCAAACCCTGTTATCCTGCAATCATTGGAATCTCCTGGTAAAATTCAGATGAACTGATGAAGTAGGTGTGGAAAAGTGGCTTTTGAAATTATATCAAGATATTATATATTATCAAGATATTCCTGATTTATAACTACTTTGATACAATACATATAAATAATATTCACCAAAATTCATGGAACTTTGAAATATTCTCATAAAGGTATATAGTAGTGGACCTTCATTATCCCCTGTATCATGTTCTTTAGGAATATAGTCTCTGGAGGTTTTATTCTGTGATATTTCTTTATACACAACCCTTCTTTCTCTGTAAGAGAACAATTTGAAATCACTAAAGATCGTAGTCATTATTTACCATGTGCTGTTTTCACAGTGCTCAGATGGGAAAAGCTTACGATGCACATTTGTCTGATTTTTTCAGTTTACCTCTCCAGCTCTGCATAGCTTCTGGGAATGTTTGATCTTCTATTGACAAAGGCTTGCTTTTGCAGGTGATGAAAGGTGGCTTATGGGAAAAGGCATGACCCAGGCTGAAACCTTCATGTATTTTGTCAATACTATTAACCTACAGTATTAATTGGAATTCAGCATTTAATTAACATTGATTTAGGGCAGAAGTATTACATCTATTTGCCTTTCTGTAGAAAATTAAATTGGCCTAGCAGTGATCTCTGAGGAAAAGCCATAGGAAAACTCTAGCAACTGTAGATGCTCTGTTTTTCATTTTTGCATCTCATTCCATGTTTTGATGGTGGAATACCCTTAACAGCACTATATATATACTTTAACATCACAACTTTTCTTTCCTTCTATACCCACAGCATGTTTTCATATTCTCTTTAAAACTAGCACGAGACCTAATTTTTTCTTAAAGGCAAAATAATTTTAGTTTCCAAGTAGGTGTGAAAGCTATCACAAAAAAAAATTTCAGTTTTTTTGTTTCCTTTGTCCATAATAGTATTTCTGAAGTAGCTCACAGTCTGTCCTTCCTCAATGCCCATTTTCTGATTCTTAAATATATTGTTCTCTTTTGAATTCAGTTTCGATTTTTTGTTTGTTTGTTACAGTTCCTGTTTTTTGAACTGGGAATAATTGTCCAAGTTTAACTGACTTAGTATACTTGTGATTATAATATTTAATGATCTATTATTATACATTATCCCAGCTGCACCGGGATGATCCAGGTATTTTGTTAATGGCTGCAGATGCTTACAAAAAAACATTTGCTAGCCAGCAAGGAAAGGCACTAAAAGCTGTGTGGTTTTTAGACTTAGGTTTGCAATGCATGTGACAAGTCATAAGTTCAACCTGTCTGCAGGAGTTAATGTGTTTTGGGGAAATAGAGTAATTAGAAGTATATTAAACCGATATAGTGGAAAGAAACAGCTTTTCAATGCACAGTATTTCTCAAAAGAGACAAAAATGTGTTTATTTAGTATAGGCAAGTATGCTGAGTTGTGTTTTGTCAGAGAAACATTTTCAGACTATTTACTTTGAGTGTGAATGAGTGAATTCTTGGAGTGAATAAGCTTTTTTTATGACTGTGCCTCTTTCCAATTTCAGTAATAGCCAAATTTCATTGTAAATGCATTTTCCAGTACTTGTATCTGTTTATCAAAATGCAGATGATAAAAATGCTAGTAAATAGAAATTTCTTAAGGAGAAATTTAGTAAATTTTGTCATATGTGCTGAAATGATTCATTCTTTCTATAAACAGAGCCTTTCTATTTGATACCTCTGAAAGATCCTTGGCATGTTTCACTGCCACAATTTCTCAAACTGGGTTCCAGAGTTTGAACTCTGGCAATCTAAAATTGTTAGGTCTGTTAAGTTCATATAAAATTCAGCCAGGAAAATTCAATTTACATAAACAAATTGTTACAAATTGTCCTGTCAGTGTTCACCAGCATCTACCTTTCCCGTTCTTTTAAATGGTCCAAAATTCCAGTCCAGTTTTCAGACATTGCCAGATACTTATCCATCTTATCCGTCTGCCTATCTCTGAAAATACATCTCTTGGCAAATAATGTGATTGTTTCTATGTATTCATGTAAGAATATAAAAATACTAAAATTATACCCTTCCAAAGTTTTATTTCTGTGAAAATCTTTCACCAGTCTGTTCTTGGAAGACTGTAAAGCTGTGTTAGTACAATTTAAGGATGGGAAAAATGCTAAAACAATTTAAGAAGGTCAGTGGGAAAGATTCTTTAGTAATGCTGGTGCTGCTCCATTGAATTTATTGAAGTCAAGGAATTTATACTAATGCACATTTGAAGCCAGAACTTGGTTTTCTATGTTCAAATTGTGTTTCAGAATGGAATATTTAGACATTAAGAGTAGTGGCATATAAAGATCATATTTCAAGCAATAGATTCTTTCTTCATAATATTTGCCAGACATATCAAATTATAGAAAAACCTCCTGAAAACAAGTAGAAGAACAAAGATCCTGGATTAGATCTTGCAAAGGGCTGCTGTTGTTGGTGATACAGAAAATGAAAGAAGGTAAATGAAGGCTGAACACCAGCGAGCAGCAGCGACTTTTGTTAGTTGCTTACAACTTTTCACACTGGCAGCTATTATGTTGTCATACACATTTCTGCAGATGCCTCTGTATGTCTTGAGTCTGCATATGTTTAGAAAGGAATCTGTAAAAGAAAAGTGCCATTAATTCCTAAATTATCGCCTTTGTTTTAGGGTTCTTCTCAACCACAAGTGGTAGGTGACTGGGAGAGTGTATCAGAGAGCTGTTATTGAATGTTTTCTGCTTTTGTTTCCTTGTTTGTCAATTTGCTGATGTCTCAAGACAGAAGATGCAGGCCTAGTGTGCCATGGTAGTAACTGATACTAGAAAGAAAGGACTTTGGTTATTTTTTTGACAATTTTGTATTTGCTACCCCTTTCATGACTATTAAACTTTTTGCAGCAAAGACTGCAAATCTTCACTACAGTAAAGTTGGGGCTATTGTACTAGCATTCTAGTTATATTTATGGACACTGCACTGTTAGCAGCCACTGGAGAGAAATGGCTTGCAGAATTAATTGATCACACATATACATACAACTCAGTTCAAAAGCACTTGTAGTCTTCTAATGTTGAGCCTCTTCCTGGAATGATTTTGAGAAGATTACATCATCTTATACAGTACACCGTGCATTCTGCTGAAGATTATCTGCTCCACACACACAGTTCAAGTAGGCAGCTTATTCTAACCTCAGGGAACAAGCAGTTTTGACACGTTTGGAATGAGAGGAAGTAGCATGAATGCACAAATGCAATTATGTGAACACCAAAAGAATCTGCACTAAAAATGCTAGGATAGGTTGTTCATTATTTCCAGGATATCAACTCATGTATCAGTGCCTCAAAACATAGTAAGAAATGTGTATTTGGTTTCCAGGATCAGTGGTTTTGGCGTGTCAGAAACAACAGGGTGATGGATGGATACCCCATGCAGATTACCTACTTCTGGAGAGGGCTGCCTCCCAGCATTGATGCAGTTTATGAAAACAGCGAGGGCAATTTCGTCTTCTTTAAAGGTAAGAAAAGTCAGAATTTGTGTAATACTTATGACTGATGATTATTTTTTTTTTTTAATTTATCCATTTTTACTAACGGTTTATAAATTATGTTGTAAATTCATAGCTAACTGAAGAGTACATGAGTTCTGTTTTTTCATTCTGTCAACTCAGCTTTAATTTATGATTATCTTCAAATTATCAGATTTTTTACTCTGATATATGCCATAGAAATTTGGAAGTATAAATTCAACATATTACATTGCAGTGATCCTTTTTTGGATCATTTTGGATCCTATGAATCATATGAATTTGTATCCTATTCAATCTTTCTTTGGAAAATGTGGATCAGATGCAAGAATGCATACATACAATGTATTTTCATATACTTCTCTTTGTTCTCCTTTATTATTACAAATGATCTTTGCATTTTTAAATGTTACCTCATCTACGTATATCTTACTGTCTGCTGTGCTGTATTTATTTAATATGAGTACTATGATGCTCAGAGTTTCATCTTTTCCATAGATGTATCTTTGGTATTTTTATAAAAGTTTCAATCTAGACATCAGTGGATCATTAAAATTATTCTAATTCCGATTTTGTAAGAAATTATCCTGCATGTTAAATGAATACTCATTTAGCAATAGAAGAGTGAAAACCGTATGAAATATGTTTGATGAGGTAATACTTTAAGAGAAGAAATAAGAAACTGCAATTTGTGTTGTGTGTGATTCACTTAACCCACTACAAAAAGGTAGAAAATATCTTTGTTTCTAAATTGTAATGTCAGAGATGAATCATTTTTTATGAGCAGAATAATGAACAGGAAATATAAGAAATATTTCATTCACTACGAAATGGTTATCACCTTTTGAATACTAAGTGAAAAATACTTAATAATATGAAGAAATAGCACATAGTGCAATAGAGATTAATCATATATTCTGTTAATGAGGAGCTGGAGGTGTTCAATGCCAGGTTGGATAGGACCCTGGGCAATCTGATCTAGTGCTTGATGTAGCAGTTTGTTACCCTACCTGTGGCGAGGGATTTGGAACCTGATGATCCTTAAGGTCGCTTTCAACAAAAGCCATTCTATGATTGTAGGAACTTGTAGGCATTTTGTTGTGAACTGTAAGATAAATTACATTCCATGCAGCACACTTCTATTTACATTACATCAAAACAATGTATGCTTTAACTTGTGTTACCATAAAATAAATTTAATGTCATAAAATTGGAGAAATTAGGAAGTTCAGGAATCATTATGAAAGTACCTCAAAATTCCTATCCCACTGCCTGATTTTTGTGTCTGTGGGTCATGTAAGGATAGAAGGATTATTCTGTAGGTATTTCTTGGCTTATTGTGTTACATAGAGCAAAGAACCATCCTGTGCATGCCAGAACTCTTCCTCAATAATTCTGGGATCCACTGCCTGAACTTCAGACAGAAATTATCCAGCTCAGTGTCATACCTGCTTTCCTTTCATTTCTTGCCCAGAGATCAAAATTTGTTCTGTCATTATTTAAATCTTCACCCAGTGTTGGCTGACTCATTTTAGGCCTTAGAGGAATAGATTGATTGTATTAAATGTAATATCGTAAGTTTACAAGACAACAGGAGAGGCTAAGAGGAATTTTTTTTAACATGGGAAATTAAATAATCAAGATTGACTAAAGGAAGCAGAAACAACATTTCTTACAAGTTGTAAAATTATGTTCTTTTTTCTCTTGCTTATTCTCAGTTTATGTTCTTTGTGTTCAGATTAGCCAGTTTTGTGCTTTGATATCATATAGCTGGATTTTAACTTGCTTTTGCTGAGTTCCTTTGTTTGTGCAGTGATGTTTGTACTTGTTCTTTGTTCTTTGTCTTTGTTCTTTTCAAAAGTCAAAAGTGCTTACATTTCCTTGTAGGAATTTTTTTTCTGGATTTTTGCTTCTCTGTCACTAAATCTTTTTGATTTTCAATATCTACCTGATGATATTTGTCTATCAGTGGAATTTGTATTTTCCTAATACCACAGAGTTAATAGGTTCAACTGAGCCTTTTATATGCATATTCTTGACAATTCCTGTTAAAGAAAGATCTCAACTGATTTGTGAAACAAGCCTGCAAAAGTCTATGTACAAGGGCTGCTCTGAAAGTAATGCCTCCTATTTTATTATGTTGGCCAACAAAATCGGAGGCAGATGTTGGTCACATTGCAGTAGAGGTCAAACCCTCCCACCAATATTTTGTTACATTTTGTTGCCATGTAGCAGATGGCAGAAGAGGGGCAGTCTGACAAAATGGCATCTGGGATGGAAGTGCATATGAAGAAAAGTTGTGGAATTGAATTCTTCCATTGGGAAAAAATGACTCTCATTGACATTCATCGACTTGCTGAATGTTTATGGAGACCAAACAGAGGATGTAGCACAGTGAGGTGGTTGGTGGTACATTTCAGCAGTAGTAACAGTGACGTGAAAGACAAGCCATGTTTCAGGTGGCCATGCACAGCTGCAACACCATGAAATGAAGTGCTTTTCTATCAGTTCCATCCATGCAGACTGACAGATAATAACCAGTGAACTGTACATGGAGCTGAATATCTGCTTCAGTGAGTTGGAAAGAGTAGTGGAAACCTGGAATACCACAAAGTTTGTACCAGGTGGGTCCCACAAATGCTCACAGAGGAACAAAAAGACCATTTGCAAGTTTTTCAGTACCTATTGAACCAATATCAGGCTGAAGGAAACAGCTGTCTGGATCACATCATCAGTGATGACAAGTTGTGTTGTCACCTCTATAAGCCAGAGTCAAAATGGCAGCCCATGGTGTGACAATCTGTGAATTCCCTATCAAAGAATGCACTGCTTTCAGCAGATAAAGTGATGTGCATTGTCTTTTGGAATAGGAAAGTAGTGATCCTTCTGGAAGTCCTGGAACCCGGATAAACCATCAGCTCTGATTGCTACATCATGCTTCAGAGTAAGCTGAAGGCTCAAACTTCCAAAGTCGAGCCAGAGAAGAAGACAATATCCTAAATCCTCATTAATATTCTTCATCTTTTTTTAGCCCTGAAGTAGTCAGGCAGTTGGACTAGATAATTTTTGATGGCCTCTTCCAACTCAACTCGACTCAACTCGACTCAACTCAGCTATTCTATTCTAATTTGATTTGTTTAAATACTTGCCTTTTATGACAGAAATCAAGTTTGAAATAGTTGATTTAAATGATAAAACAGGTTTAAATCTTCATTACTCTTTTCCTTTCCTTTCCTTTCCTTTCCTTTCCTTTCCTTTCCTTTCCTT